CTTTCTCTGTCCAGAGAGATAAAAAAGCCTTAACCAACTACCTCTGAATAGGGTAAGCATTGCCCAGTACATGTTATTAATAGTACTGTGCACACTTACTTGAGCACAGTACAGCCCTGTTAAAATGAGATGTCTTAAACCCATCATCCACAAATAAAGCAAAGTAAATTGTTCAAAGTGAATAAATTGCTGAAATTCTATTTAAACTTTTGAAGCAAGTTTTAATGTGCTGTAGCCACATTATATTATATAATATAATATAGCCACAACTATAATTGCATACAAAATAATTGGATTGAATGAAGATGGTGCTTTAGTTAATATGACTAAATAATTCTGACTTTTAACAATTTATAATTAAAGTCACTATTTTATCACATTTCTTCTCTGAACTAACCACTAAAATTAAGTTTAGTAAATAAGAGAATATGTCACTTATTTATAAATGATAGCCCAAGATAAGATGACAAGACAGTAAACATAATAGGAATCATTTATTTTCGTGCCAAATAAGTTAATGTGATATCTTCTTTCGTTATCTGGCCATCTTTGAGTTAAAAATAAAACTTCACTTTAAAAAGTTTGACCATTTTATGAGTATTTCCTGGATGTATGTCTGTTGTTTTAAAGTTAGAAGCTGTGGTGTTTAAACAATGGTAAGCAATATTTCCAACATCTAAATTTACCTGTGAATTGGGGAGGGTGTTTATGGTGGGTATTCACACAGCAAAACACCACTTAGGAGTCCACATCCTATATCGGAGTGCCTGGGTTCGGTCTTGGCTCTGCTCCAGATCCCAGCTTTGCTAATATTCACCTAAGGAGACAGTGAGCTATGGTTCCTGCTATTCAGGAGAGACTCGAATTGCGTTTCCAGCCTCAGTTCATGCAGGGCATTTGACAAGTGAGGCAGCAGGTGGAAACTCTCTCTCTCTCTCAGATAAATAATTAAAAATAAGTAAGTTTACCTGTTTATTGATATATATATAGATAGACTCCCAATCTAATGTAATGTCATCAAATAGTTTAGAATTCATAAAGTATTGTATAATTATATGTTAAATAATAACTATGTTTGTGAAATTATCAGTATCTACAAGCTTCTCTTAAACATACTCTACCAAGCTTCCGTAATGGCTTTCAGATGGTAATAAAGTTTAGTGTGATTTTATATGGTCTATTTAAAGTAGATGAGAGGTTATCTACACAACCGGGGTAAGAACACACAAACCTGTCAGATGATTATGTAAATACAAAGCAAGTCAGTTATGAAAGTTGATAATAAATGTGAGTAATTGAGAGTGAATTTCGAAGGATTTTCTGTATTTCACAGTAATATAAAATATATTTGTTAGAAGTTTGCTTTCTCAGACCTGAGAGAAGAATCATTTGAAAGTATCAGGGCCTAGAGTAGGGAAGAGGAATCGCAGTTAAGATCTTTGTAGCTTGTTGGACCGAATTGGATAGTTAGGGATCCTAGATTCCCTGCTGTGTGATGTGCTCAGGGCAACCAGCAGGGTTTCTGTCCCTGGCTGAATACCATAACCTCCTGGGGAGCTTTCAATAAACAGTTGCCCAGAGCACACCTGGGAGTCCCTCGGGGAAGGGCTGAAGTCTTTGTGTTTTTAAAAATCACCTTCCTCCTGCACTCTTTTATTGCTCAGTGCCCAGTAGTTCACTGGTCCTGAAGAACGCTTGTTTTCACTCTGTAACTGCCTGCCTCGTCGTGATGTTCCAGTGGCCTCCATGTGGGAGCCTCATATTTCTGTGCCCAGCAGTTGAAAAAAGGCCGGAGAGGACACAGTGGAAGTGCACTGCTCTCATAAACGGGAAAGAAATCGTTCTAGCCCTTTCTGAAGAAAGCAGTCAGGTTCTGAGGAAAGGGACGGAAAGGCCTAGTTCTTTTTTTAAATGTTTACTTTGATTTATTTGAAAGAGAGAGAGACAGACAGACTCTTCCATCCACTGGTCCACTTCCTAGATGCCTTCAATTTCAAGACCTTGGCCAAGACAAAGACAGGAGAGCCTGGGACTCCCTTTGAGTCTCCCACGTGGGTGCCAGGAACACAAGTACCTGAGCCATTGGCTGTCTTCCCAGAATGTGCATCAGCAAGAAGTGGGTAGGAAGCTGAGGAGCCATGACTCAAATCAACACACGGATATGGGATGCAGGTGTCCCAAGCCCACTTGTAGCTACTCCTTTTTGTTGTTTCCTCAGACATACATTTCATTATTAGAGAGGACTATGGATGAGGCCGCTCAGGAACCTGATGGGATGAGGGTTGGACAGACTCGCAAGCCTATGTTGTCAGAGCTGTGCCCCCAATATCTACAAGACAAACTGCGCCATATTGGTCACTATTAACTATTTTGTAAGAAAGAAATGACTTGGGACTGGAAGTGCCTTGTAATCAGAGAAAAGAGTTTGTCTCTGTATATTTGGATGCTCTTTTTTTTTATTGTTAATTTCTTTGCTTTTCTTTTTTTTTAACTTTTATTTAATGAATATAAATTCCCAAAGTACAGCTTATGGATAACAATGGCTCCCCCCATAACTTCCCTCCAACCCGCAACCCTCTCCTTTCCCGCTCCCTCTCCCCTTCCATTCACATGAGGATTCATTTTCATTTCTCTTTATATACAGAAGATCAGTTTAGCATACATTAAGTAAAGATTTCAACAGTTTGCACCCACATAGAAACAGAGTGAAAATTACTGTTTGAGTACTAGTTATAGCATTAAATCACAATGTACAGTACATTAAGGACAGAGATCCTACATGAGGAGTAAGTGCACAGTGACCCCTATTGTTGACTTAACAAATTGACACTCTTGTTTATGGCATCAGTAATCACCCTAGGCTCTTGTCATGAGTTGCCAAGGCTATGGAAGCCTTTTGAGTTCACCAACTCTGATCATATTTAGACAAGGTCATAGTCAAAGTGGAAGTTCTCTCCTCCCTTCAGAGAAAGGTACCTCCTTCTTTGATGACCTGTTTTTTCCACTGGGATCTCATTCGCGGAGATCTTTCATTTAGGTCATTTTTTTTTTTCCCGGAGTGTCTTGGCTTTCCATGCCTGAAATACTCTCATGGGCTTTTCAGCCGATCCACATGCCTTAAGGGCTGATTCTGAGGTGAGAGTGCTGTTTAGGACATCCGCCATTCTATGAGTCTGCGGTGTATCCTGCTTCCCATGTTGGATCGTTCTCTCCCTTTTCTATTCTATTGGTTAGTATTTGCAGACACTAGTCTTGTTTATGTGATCCCTTTGACTCTCAGTCCTATCATTATGATCACTTGTGAACAGAAATTGATCACTTGGACTAGTGAGATGGCATTGGTACATGCCACCTTGATGGGATTGAATTGGAATCCCCTGGTACGTTTCTAACTCTACCATTTGGGGCAAGTCAGCTTGAGCATGTCCCAAATTATTTGCTTTTCTTAAAAATTGCAGTCACATACCCAGAAAGAGGCAGCTGGATCTACTGCTCTCGCACTTAACTGCAGTGTTAGCCTGGCCATCTTCCCACAGCTCCCTGCATATGTATGGAAATGTGCTTTGAAAACCAAGCCTGGCACAAATAGTTTACTACTAGCAAAGTTATCTACATGTTGCTCTCTCCTTGCTAGTTTCCTCTTACTAATATCTGTATCCCCCAAATAGGGACCAGCAAATGCATGTTACATAACAATGAGGAAAAACACAGCCTTAGATACAGTGACCCTTGAAGGCTTGCTTTCTGCAAATGCATGCCCCCAATTTGTTAAATCGTATCTTTAAATATACTTTTTTTGCTAACACAGGAACAGAGCTCATGTTTTTGTTTGTAGTTAAATGTAATCACTTTGTTCCATGACTGTTGTATCCTTGATGAAACATCTTCAGTAATCTTGTACATTACGATTTATCAGTTTTCCTTCATTTTTGGTCACTCAAGAGCAGTCTACAGTATCCAGGTAACATTTCCATAGCCATCCCCCTATTGATGGGCATTTGTTTTGGTTTGTGTTTTTGTTTTTTTTTTATCCCATGTTTGAATATTTCCATACCATAGACTCCTAGAGATGGAATTTCTTGATATTAAAGGGACATTTAATGTTTTGATATGGTGCCAAATGGTGCCAGCTGCCCTCCAAACCGGGTCAGTTTGTACCACCCAGCAGTGTGGTGCTGCCCTTTCCCAAGTTTCCAGCAGGCCTGGTTACCACTAAAATTCTCTTTTTGTTGCTAAGTCGAATTGAATGGAGGAAGTGATATTTTATTATTATTTTACATTTATATCTGTATACCTTTGGAACACTGTATCCAAATCTAAAGCATGATGTGTTTTAATTTCAGTGGCAGCTAATATCTCTATAATACATCAAGCTATTATCCCATTTCCAGTTTTCTATATTTTTCTCTTCAATATAACTGTCTGATTTTTGTTTCAAATTTAAATAACTGTTGTTCTATTATTAAACATTTAATCTCTTTCCAGTGCCTCTTTAATATAATCATATAGCAATGAAAATCATCCTACATGTTGTTATTTTTCTTATGAAAATTTCATTAAAATAAGTTCCAAGTAGTGATATTACCAGGTCAAAGGTTTTAACTATTTATGGCTCTTGATAAGAATTGTTAAATTGCACCATCTGTTCATTATATGGATTCAGCCATTCCACAGTGGGTACTTATTTCAAAACATCATATTCTATGTAATTACATGCCCTTTATTTTCATAACTTGTAACTATTGAATTATATACACAAAATGGTGAGATGCATATTTATATTTTCAGTGTTTAAAAAGGAATTATTTCACAATGCTGACATAATATGGATGCAGAATGAGGTAAAATAAAATACGTAAAATCAGCTATGCCTTAACAATAGCTAATTTTGATTTTCCTTTTACACTTTTTGTTTTTTTCCTAAATAATCACAGTATTACACAAAGTCTGCAAGTCTTCCACATATTCTTGGGGTCAAAGGATCTGTCTCTCTCCCTTAGGAAATTTACCAGTGGTGTGGTTCCTCATGCAACAAATATGAGCGTCTGAAAGCAAACCAAGTTGCCATTGGCATTCGAGACAATGAAAGGAAAGGCAGATCCCAGCTGATTGTGGTGGAAGAAGGAAGTGAGCCAGCGGAGCTTACGGAGGTACAGTGACTTGTGTTGGTTAAAGAGTTACCACCCTGGTGTGTGTGTGTGTGTGTGTGTGTGTGTGTGTGTGTGGTGTGTGTGATATACCGAGAAAATGAGAGTGTTTTAACACATTTCCCAATGCTGAGACTAGGTCAGGAGAAACAACCCGGGAATCTAAGTCATGGACTGGGAAACGGAAGGCCATGGCTCTTCTCTCACTGTTGGTGTCTGTCAAGGGGAGCACTGCCCCCATCTTCTGCAGTAAATGAGGATCAACACAGGGGTGACAGTTTTGCAAGCGCTGCTCCTTAACACTATGTGATGGGTTGGAGAGCTCATATGTTACTCATCACATAAACACACACACACACACATGCACACACATATAGTCTTAGTATTTTGATACTTGCATTGTAATATAATTGGTTTCCATTATAATATTTTTATTTCTGTGCATTTAACCTTATTTTTCTTAAAAGGTATCTGATAGGTTTCAGAAGTGATCCAAAGTTGCCCAAAGCATATCCCTGTGCCCAGACACAAACACCCAGTCTTGTTGACGTTAATGGAATGTCATTTGTTTTTCTGAGAGCTTAATATAACTGTTACTTTTGCCATAAGAGGAGTCTAACATTCTAAAAATCTTTCAAAATACCTTCTAAATTTGATCTTTTAAGTTATTCATTTTTAATGAGGATCTTTTAAAATTATTTAACTCCCCAAACTTTCAAAAATTCTATATATGAAAGTTAGTAATGGCTTGACATCAAAGACCTCTTAATCAAGCAAATGATACTGTTATTCTGTATTTGGTACTAAAGTTTTGGAATATGTCTTTAAAGTACCCAAAACTAAAAATATTGAAAAAAATTTTTCTGAGTTGTCTGAAAAGTTTATCTTAATTTGAGGTGTTTCAGTTTTCTGTTGATTACACTATTATCTTCACACAATTTTAATATGACTTATCTCTAAAGTGACCAGAAATGTATCCTCCAAACCAAAATACTCTTCTGTGGTTTCAATAATAATTCAGGTGTCCCCAAAAGGCTCATATATTGGGACTTGGTCCCCCAAGTCTTATGTTAATGGTATAGGATAAAATGTTGACAGTAAATGGATTAAGGTTGGGGACTTGCTCTAATTATGGCATCTGAGAGATGGGCCTAGTAGATCTTTAGGTCATTGGAGGTATGTCCTTGGAAGGTGGCTCTCAACAGAGGATTGGCTGTCAAAGCCGAGGAGGTTCTTGCTGATTTTGCCCTCTCCCTCCCTCCTTCCCTCCCACTCTCCCTCTCTCCATTCCTCCTCCTCCTCCTCCTCTCTCTCTCTCTCTCTCTCTCCCTTCCTCTCTCTCTCTCTCTCTCTCTCTCTCTCTCTCTCTCTGCTTCCCAGCTCTCCATGTGATCCTCCCATTACTATACTCTGGCCTCACCAGATACCTAAATTGGTGGAGTCACCCAGCCTTGGACAGTGAATCTCCAAGTCCTTGAACCAAAATAAAGCTCTGCTTCCTAAGTAACTCCTCTCGGGCATTTGACTATGGTAATGCAAAGCCCATATGACTTGACAGGGTAACAGGGGATACTAAGGAGGCAAGAGAGGAAACAACATGGATTAACAAGGCTGGAAAGACAGGGTGTGTGGTCACTCTTCGATCTGTAGCTTTGGTGCCTTTAGAAGCTCATATGCTAAATATGCAGTAACCCTGCATGTGGCAGTAACTGGACCCCATCATACTGCGTGTTTGTCTTCCTCACTGTAAACAAACACGTCTTGACGGACTGCACATAAACTGTATAAAGCTTATGTCATGATCTCTCATCTTTACATATTTAAAATAATCAATAATTGTAAGAAAAATATCTCACTAGCTGCAGGGTCCCAAACTTTATTCACTGTTTATCCTTTAAACATTAGGAGGGAGCTAAAAAAATTCCCTGAGGAAAAATATTATCTGATAAACATTCATTTTTAAAAAGACAGCATCTGGTAGATATAAAAAAAGAGAACAAAATAGGGGCAAGTTCTTTTAAACAACCAAAAAATTCTTTAATCTGAAATTAATTTAATCTGACTTTTTTAATCTGGAAAGACTTTTTAAATACGAAGAATTCGTTAACTGTATAATCATTGTCAATGCTGGTGATGGGATCCTGGCAATAAAAATACTACAGGGTACTGTGTTGCCAAAACACTAGGCTTCTTGCTTTTCTAAAACCACTGTAAGGCCCCTTGAAAAATGTTATGTGCAATCGTTGTTTCAGATGCTGGACAAAAGGAAAATTAAGAGTCAAGTTATGCCTCAGCTAATGTATGTTTGTTGAGCAATGGATTAATTCTCAATAAATTGTATGTTTCTGCTATCTCATTGTCTGGTTTAGGAGACTAGCATGCACAGTGGGCACAGGTGGTGGCAAAACTACACAATGTCTGAATGATAGCGCATTTGTTGGAGCTTTTGGGTGATACAATTCATATTTTAGGCTTTAGACATTAACATATATGCCAAATTAGGCTCTGAAGCCTATCCCAACATAAGGATGGTGTTCCTCATATTCTTGTAAGTCATAATTGATAACTGGAAAATTTAAAGAATTTGTTCAGTCATTCTCTTGGCAAGTTGATTGGCTATTACGTGCTAATCTGGGCATCTTGCAATTAAAAACTAAAGTTGAATAATCTACATCATTCTTAAGTTATCCTTAGAGATGTATAAAGTTTATTTAGGCCAAGAACACAATTTTAGTCATATTTCCCCAATATATGTAGCCAGAAAAAATCTATATCTTATCATTTCTTTAAGTTACTGGAAACTGCTTTTATGTGTATGAACCCTGCCCAAGTCCTAACTTATGGCTCATTAACATTTGAGGAAGTAGCACAATTGTGAAAGACACAGTACCTGGAACCAGTGTATTTGTTTTATGTTTTCCAGAAGATAGTTTTGCTTTTAAAATTCACCTGTATTTTAGATGATAGTACTGACAAAGATATGGACAAGTCCTTCATGTTGATTAAAATAATTCCTTGCTGATTCTATTTTTGTTATTTTTTATCATTTTATTTCAGAATAGTTTTAAATTTACAAAATTGAAATTGTGAGGTAGTAATACATGTACCCCTCATCCCGTGTCCCCTGTTATCATTTCATATTAGCATCTTTGTCATAATTAGTGAGCCATACCCAGCTTGAATATCTCACTAGTTCCAGGGTCCCAAACTTTATTCACTGTTTATTCTTTAAAATTAGGAGGGAAGCTAAAAAAATTTCCTGAGGAAAAATATTATCTGATAGACATTATTTTTAAAAAGACACCATCTGGTAGATCTAATTTTTTTAATCCAAATTCCTTTTATCTTTCCCATCACTCCCAGCCTCTAGTAATCACATTCTGTGTTCAGATTGAGGTGGGTTTTTTTGTTTGTTTGTTTTTAATTTTAACTTTCACAGGTAAGGGAGAATATGCAGGATTTGTTTTTCTGTGTCTGGCTTATTTTACTCGAATGATATCTATCCATTTTGCTGCAAATGGCAGGATTTGAGTATTTTTTAGAGCTGAATTAGATTTCATTGTGTACATATGCCACATTTTTTTTTTTTTTTTTTTGACAGGCAGAGTGGACAGTGAGAGAGACAGAGAGAAAGGTCTTCCTTTGCCGTTGCCTCCAATGGCCGCCACGGCCGGCGCACTGCGGCCCGCGCACCGCGCTGATCCGATGGCAGGAGCCAGGTACTTCTCCTGGTCTCCCATGGAGTGCAGGCCCCAAGGATTTGGGCCATCCTCCACTGCACTTCCCTGGCCACAGCAGAGAGCTGGCCTGGAAGAGGGGCAACCGGGACAGAATCCGGTGCCCCGACCGGGACTAGAACCCGGTGTGCCGGCGCCGCACATTTTCTTTATCCATTCACCTTGGTTGATTGCATGTTCTGTCTAATGTGAACAGTGCTGCCGTGAACATGGTGAAACAAGAATCCCTTTGTAGAGGGGATTCTCATTGTACAATGAGTGCATGTCTTCTGGACACACACCCAGTAGTGGGATTGCTGGGTCATATGGCAGTGCCATTTCTAATTGTCTAAGACATCTCTGTGCCATTTTCCACAGCTGCTGTACAATTTACATTCCTATCAACAGGACGTAAGGGTTTCTTCTGCACATCCTCGCCAGCATTTGCTACTCTCTTTTTGATAATAGCCGTTTTACAGGGAGGAGGTGCTAGTTCATTGTGGTTCTAATTTGATTTCTCATATCAGAACACCTCTCCCTATAGTGTCCAGTGCCCATAGAAATCCAGGACATTTCTTGGTCTCTAGAGCACAACTCTGCTGTCCTCTGTCCTTGATCACGCTGCTTGCTGTCCCACCGTCTCGTGGCTGCCTCCGGGGTACCGCAGTGGCCACCACTTCTCATTATTCTTGCTCACAAGTGAAAGTGCTCCACGACCTCCAACAGCTACACAGCCGTAGAGCTGCACTTTTGAAGTCACAATCTGTTTATGTTGTTCTTTCCCAAAATTTGGCATCAAGAACTCATACGTTTCATTTCCCATGAACGTAATGTAGTGTCCTGCAGTACTTTGTAAGAATGGAAATTTGAGTTTCTTGAGATGTTAATTTTTTAAATTTTATTTAAGTTATACAATTTCATGTATTTCATATATACAGATTAGGAACATAGTGATACTTGCCCTCTCCTACCCTCCCTCCCACCCAAGCTCCAACCCTTCTTCCTCCTCCCTCTCACATTCCCACTCTTAATTTTTACAAATATCCATTTTCAGTTTACTTAATGATCATATAGTTAACCCTACACTAAGTAAAAGAGTTCAGCAAATAGTATGAGGGGAAAAAAGAACAACATCACTGTTCCTCAATGGAAGAGACAAGGGCTGTCAACCAATGTCAGATCTCAAAATGTCCATTTCACTCCTCAGCATTACATGTCAGGTACTGTATTAGTTACCTCGGATCAGGGGAAATATAGGATATCTGTCTTTTGGGGACTGGCTTATTT